TCAAAGAAATAGAAAGAGATGGAATACTTCCAAACTCCAATGAAGCTGCACCACAAGGAAAGAAAACTTCAGGTCAATATCTCTGAGGAACACAGACACAAAAATCCCCAATATTAAACTTGCAAATTTAATACAGGCAAATTGTATCCAGGAGACACAGGATGGTTCAATATATTAAGTCAACAAATGCAATAAATCAGGTAAATGGACTCAGAAACCAAATCACATGATCATCTCTGTAGCTGTAGAAAAGGTCTTGACAAAATCCCAGACCTGTGTGAGCACCAGACTCCATTCCCTTGGGAACTCTAAACTGACAGCTTGTCTCAATCCCCTTACCTGAGTCAGCCCGAGTCTGCAGCAGCTCCGTCTCCCAATTGTGCTGTAGCCTGATGACGCCATTAAAGCCATAATCAACATGCTTCTCATTTGTTTCTATCCCTCAGTGACCACTTTTGTTAAATGTCTGATGTCAGTGTCTTAGAAACTGATGAAAATGTATTTTATTATTCCTCTGTCATTGTTTCAGGTAAGAGGGAAACTTAATTCCTGTAACTGCATCCTGCCTGGGAGATTTGTCTTTTCAAAAATGATATATAAATGCTATCAGCCTGTACCGACAAAACTTAATAAACAGAAGCAAAACCTGATCCTTTTGGTAGACATTAACAAAGGTGCTGCCCCATTGCCCATGGTACTTCTAAGATCTCACACATAGTAAATAAAACAAGAACATCAGTGATATGAAAACAGTTCCTCTCCATCAGCATATTTAAGTAAATGTTTTAAAAAGCATACGGGCTAGAGAGATGGCTCAGTAATTAAGAGCGAGAGGATTCAGGTTCAATTCCGAGCAGGCACATGGCATGCTCACAACTGTCTATAATTCTAGGTCCACAGCTTATGACACCTCACACACACATATGCAGGCAAAACACCAGTGACCATAAAAAAAGAAAAAGCCTTACATACATAAACCTGATAGCATTCTGTTTCCAGTTACTGAATTTCGCCATATGATCCTAAATATACATATGCCACTAACAAATTACTTCTAAAAGTCATGTCAAAAGGCTGCACTTTTTTTTTCTTATTTGGAGCAATAAAATCTATCCTTAGATTTTAAAAAAATAGAATATAAGGACTTAGATCACATTTGAAGGTTGAACTTCTTTCCAACCTCTGGCCTGATTCTGTAGTGTAGAGGATTGTTCCTTGGGTCCTATCCACCCTGTATTTTCAAACAGGTTTTCTCAGATGGCCTGGAACTCACTGAGTCGGCGAGTCTGGCTGGCCAAAAGGCCCAGGAAGCAGCCTGTCACCAACTCCCCAGTGATATGATTATAAATAAGCAGATTGCTACTTCCCCTGTTTTTTGTTTGCTTTAAATATGTGGGTGTAGGCTCTGGGGTCAAACCTGCAGCCCCAGTTTTCTATTCTAAACAGTAATGTGCTGAGAACTCCTCAGTGGATGGCTTTTCTATGTTTTACCCTGTTGCCTGGGAGGTAGTTGAGCGGTAGTGCAGGCTTCTGCATGAGACAAGCAGGACAAATGATCTTTTATCTGGAATATACTTTTCCTTATTGTTCCACAGGCATTTCATGGAGGCTAGATATACATGATAAAGTTTCATATCTAAATTAATGAAACTGCATTCTAAAACTCAATAGAGAAATCAGCTTATTTAAAAGATATTACCAAAGCCATTCACAACTTGTTCACTTTTCCATGTATGGATAGCACACAAAGCAGAGTCAAAATGCTCATGCAGATCCCAGAAGGCACCGAGCTGCAGTAGTGGCACTTCAGCCTGAGTGACTGCAGAACACCTTATGACACTTACAAACCACTACAGGAGGTATACAACCTAGGCTTATTTTTCAGAGACAGCTAGAGCACGGGAAACCATAGAAGAGGAACTCAGGACAGGTGACACACAAAAACCTGGGCAAAGCTTAAGCATGAGGGGCTAATCTGACTGGAAAGGCTTCTTAGAGAAACTCTCCAGAGGTCAGGCTGCAGATATAATCCAGAGCTCTTAGGAATAAGGATAGTATCTGTGTCTCTGCCTCATAGGCCATGCAGAGGCCCAGATGAGCTGAGTTCAGCTGCTTCTAACATAATTTACATGTTAAAGTTCTTATTATTTCCAAAATTAGGTTTCAGTTAGACGTCTGGGTGGGAAAGAAAATGTGACCTGATGCTCTGAGTCAGTCTCTTTATTTTACGCACTTCATAAACAGGGCTCCTGGCCTTGGGAACCTAATAGTTTCAGAATCAAAGCATAGTATGAGAGCTCTTGTCACACCTCCCCCGGTGTGGTCACACAGCTCAGAGAGAGCTCTGCTCCACCTGAGGCCTCTGCCCTCCACTCTAGTGAACCTGACAGAGGCAGAGCGAGGGCCACCCGGGGCTAGCCTGCAGGGTCCTTGCTGCAGCAGCACTGAGAAAGAACTCTTCCTCTGCAGTTGGATCTCTTCTGGTTCAGAAGGGAGAGCGAGAGTTTAGATACTAAATGCACATGGAAAAGACAAAAGACGCTAAAAAAGCTTTAAAAACGAATAAATGTTATGCGTCCTCATAGTGTTCACTGGCCTTTTCCTCCCACCAGAGCTGGAAATGACCCTATTGTTGAACAAGAGGCTGCTACGTAGAGGCCAGGCCTCTGAATCCGCTGTAGCCTGACTGTTACTGTTGAATGAGAGGCAGCTGCAGAGAGGCCAGGCCTCTGAATCTACCGTAGCCTCTGACTAGCTGTTATTGTTGAAGGAGAGGCAGCTATGTAGAGGCCAGGCCTCTGAATCTGCAGTAGCCTGACTTTACTGTTGAATGAGAGGCAGCTACAGAGAGGCCAGGCCTCTGAATCCACCGTAGTCTCTGACTAGCTGTTACTGTTGAAGGAGAGGCAGCTATGTAGAGGCCAGGCCTCTGAGGCCAGGCCTCTGAATCCACCGTAGCCTCTGACTAGCTGTTATTGTTGAAGGAGAGGCAGCTGCATAGAGGCCAGCCGTAGCCTCAGACTTGCTTTGCTTTCACCCTCCATTGTTCTTTCTAACCTTTCCCCACAAGAAACTTAAAGTGACCATTCTAAAGCTTTTCAATACTCTCAATATAAGATCCAAACCAAATGACTTCACCCTTAAATCCACTTTCCCTCTGTCCTCTTGTAGCCATATTTGACTCCATTCCCTCAAACTTATGCTAATCTAGATGTGGTACCTGCCTACTGCACAGTACCACACGCCTTCATAGTGTGTGCCTGGCTGGCACTGGTTTGTCTTTCTCCATAGAATGTAAGCTCTCCGAGGGGCAGAAGATCAGCTCTGGATGGCTTCTGCATCCCTAGCTTCTAACAGTATCTGACTCCAGGAATGTTTGTTGAGTGACTGCCCAAATAAAAACAGGAAAGGACAGAAAGGAAAAGAGCTAGGCTAGAGAAGGATATATATATGTATCTGATACATATATAAAGTTTGAGATGGTATTAGATAACTCTTGGCTAGACATGGTGGCAGTACTTAGTGGGCTAAAGCAGAGGGGTTATAAATTCTGGCCAGCCTGGACTACTCAGGGAGACCTTGCCTGAAAGAGACAAATACAATCAACTTACCCAAGTCTCAAGTTGATTCTTAGCACAATTAACATACTCTGACATTAATCTCATTTTTAACTTGAAGTAACAATTCCGCCTACTAGACTCGGAATCAGACCTGGGAACGCATAGATATTCTTACTCTTATCATACTTTTGCCAATATCCTATTTGTCTTAGTAGATTGCACTATTAACTCTCATGACCTAGAGAAAGAACTTTTAAAACTGAAGCTTGACTGTATGAAGAACACCCTCTCATGCTCTTCCTCTAGCCACTATGTCACGGGTTTCAAGGTCCTTCCTGATGACACTATGTGAGAATGTCAGCATTGTTTTTAGTAACCATTAAAACAAACACTTAAATATACTATAGCCAATAGTGTAGCTAGATGTAATGAACATGTACAAAAAGTATTAAGTTGTGAAACTGAGAATTTGCCATACCAAAAGAGCAAATTTACAGTATGCATGCGAACAAGATTCCTGTCTAATCATGCAGTTAAGGTTTGTGTAATAAATAATAAATGTTAATTTTCAAGAATTAGACTTCGCCCCCCCCCCAGGAAAAAGATTTAAGTACATTTTATAAAGGACAGAACTCCTGAGTGACCCTAAATGATTGAAGGTCTTCTCGACAGTCACTGGAAGAACACTGTCAAACGCTAGAGAGCGAGAATGGAAAAGACTGAAACTGCAGTTAACACAAACACACTGCCCCTTACACATGGTCAGTGACTGTCCACCCATGACCACACGCAGACTCCTTACCTGTAACCGTCACACTGCCACCTTCATGCTCTTTGGCCATTTCCTGAACATGAGCTTCTGGGTCCACAACCACCTCTATCCCTGACAACCTTAAATAAGCTTGTAGAGAAGGTGGGGCCTTGATAGTAATAGCACCTGTGGTAAATTTAGAGTAAAACAATACAAATAAATCAAATTATAAATATAATTAAAATATTGTTCCTGCTTTACTGCTTTCCCTCCTCAGCACACCGAGTTAAAGAGCAGTGGATTTTCTTTCTCCCAGGCAGTCAAAGTATCCTCTGAAAACATTCACCATGACTCTGGCAAGAGTCAGGCACCAGAACATTATGAACTACTAGATCTTCTTTTGCTAACACCCCTACCCAGCTCATCCATACCAAAAAGCAGTAGTAATTTGCCACACATGTGGCCCAGATAGGCCATGCTGTCAGCAAGCATTTACAAAGAGCCAGACAATCACCATTTCAACTTCAACAAGTACAATTATCACCTCAATTTGACCGTGCAGGATTTGCGCACATCCCTACCACAGCTGCAGAGTGCAGGATTAGCTCAATGGCGACAAAGCCTGTGCTTCAGGCACTCTGGTGTTTCACACACCACTACCTCATAGACCAGCAAGACCCATGACCTTACTGGTCATTATGCCACATGAACCACAGGATCCTGTGTGTTTAGTTGTGCTGGGGCATAAGGGAAAAAGAAACAGGATTATTTGGATCCCAACTGACTGATATTTCTTTAGTCAGTTACAGACTTTTAAGTACAGATGCAAAGCACTCAGCTTTACTTTAGTGTAGTCTGTTGGTTGTTCTAACAGAAGAGTTTAAGATCCTAAAGGAATAACTCAGAAAAAGTACTCCATCAGCTGTGAAATCCCTGGGAAAACAACCTCAGTGCAAGTCACCAGCACACTCCTACTTCATCAGCTTCATTCTGCTTCTCGTCAAATCTAGAGCCTTCTGCCATAAAGTATCAGCTCATCTCTGGGACAAAGAGAGTCAAGAGTCAGAGGCACTGTGAACGTTCCTTTTATAAGGGTCAGTTTCCTTCTGGACTTAAGTCCTTGCACACCTTCTTACTCTTCCTAATGGCTGCAGGATATCTGGGTTAAGATAGACCCCAGGTGTGCAAGAGATGGCTCAGTGGGTTAGACTCTTTTCTGCACAAGCATGAAAACCTGAGTTGAAGTCCCAGAACTCTTTAAAAAAATTGGGCATGCCCATGTAACCCACTGTAACCCACTGCTGGGGGGAAAGGTGGACTGCTGAGACTTGCTGGCTTAGCTTAAGGCTCAATGACAGACCATATCTCAAAGAGTGGAGAACCAGTGTAGGACACCCAACAACCTCCTCTGGCCCCCATTCACACACATGCACACGCACACACAGCACATACAAGATTTATGAGCTCTCATTCACACAAAGAGAGAAGGAGCCAGGTAGACAAGCCTCTGCATGGTCACGAGCCAATACTCTCCTCTCAAAAATTCCAAAGTGAATTGATTCTAATAATGTCACAAACTGAAAGCATACTATGTGAGGATGACTCATCTTCCCTAGGACACACTCAGCACTCACAGGCAAAGCTGGCTCCCAAGTTCCAGCACAGACTTTCTGAAGGCATGAAGAAGGTCATCATCATGCTCACTCTCACAAGGACAGAACAAACACGCATTCTAACATGTCTCCTCTGCCCCCATGGCAAATGGTGCAGACCTAAGACACTCAATCAGCTGGTTCTGGATTCCACAGCAAGACAGTGGACAGCAAAGCTGGGACAGACCACCAAGGTTCTTTGCCAACACTGAGCAAAAGTACCTTGAAGAAGATGGACATTGTTGTTTCTAGTTATCTCTAAGCTGCCAGGAATATGGTTGCAGTAGGAAATAACAAAATTACAAAATTACAATCTAATCAAATGTAATATCATATGTTATTTTAATATGTTGTTGGAACAATGCTGCAACTAATGCTCAAAAATGCAATCCCCATCAAAATCCCAACACAATTCTTCACTGACCTTGAAAGAACAATTCTCAACTTTATATGGAGAAACAAAAGACCCAGGGTAGCCAAAACAACCCTGTACAATAGAGGAACTTCTGGATGCATCACTATCCCTGAGTTCAAGCTCTATTACAGAGCTACAGTCCTGAAAATAGCTTGGTATTGGCACAAAAATAGACTGGTAGACCAATGGAATAGAGTTGGAAACCCTGATATTAACCCACACACCTACGAACACCTGAATTTTGACAAAAAATCCAAATATATACACTGGAACAAAGAGAACATCTTCAACAAATGGTGCTGGCATGACTGGATGCAAACATGTAGAAGACTAAAGTTTTGCCCTGCACAAAACAAGTCAAAATGGATCAAAGACCTCAACATAAACCCAGCCACAATGAACCTATTAGAAGATAAATTGGGAAATACCCTTAATTTATTGGTACAGGAGACTGCTTCCTGAACATAATACCAGTAGCACAGACACTGAGATCAACACTTAATAAATGGGACCTCCTGAAACTGAGAAGCTTCTGTAAGGCAAAGGACACAGTCAGCAAGACAAAACAGCAGCCCACAGACTGGGAAAAGATATTCACCAACCCCACATCTGACAGAGGGCTGATCTCCAAAATATACAAAGAACTCAAGAAGCTAGTCTCCAAAACACCACAGTATGGTGGTTCTCTGGAAAATGGGAATCAGTGTACCTCAAGATCCAGCAATTCCACTCTTAGGCATATACCCAAAGGAGGCACATTCATATAACAAGGACATCCGTTCAGCTATGCTCATAGCAGTGTTTTATTTTTTGTAATATCCAGAACCTGAAAGCAAGCTAGATGCCCCTGAACAGAAGAATGGATAGAGAAAATGTGGTACATTTACACAATGGAGTACTACTCAGCGGAAAAAAGAATGGAATCTTGAAATTGGCAGGAAAATGGATAGATCTAGAAGAAACCATTCTGAGTGAGGTAACCCAATCACAAAAAAAGACAAACATGGTATATACTCACTCAGATGCGGATTTTACATATAGAATAAGGTATTACCAGCCTATAATCCACACTGCCAGAGAAACTAGTAAACAAGGAGG